AAAGAGGCGGATTATATTCCCTGGTACTCGGCTCTCAACGCCTTTTCATTCCTAAATCTTCGACTGACAGGCACTGATATTTATCCTCTCTTTCAGGTAACGCAACATACTTGAGGACAAAACCATAATTCATGTGTTATATATCTTAACAGTTATTCATATTTCTAACTGTAGTTTTGATTTTCAGGAAGGAATTTAATTCTTGATGCACGGGAAATGTGTGCTTATAAACCAAGTTTCATTTTTGTCATGATCTACAATTCCTACATGGACAGAATGCTAAGAAAAATACACATAATTATTTATTAACTCAAATATATACGTATAGTAGTAAAATTTTACATATGGTTATAAAAATTGTAAAAGGAAAGAAACTTGTATTTCAGGTTATGTTCTTAGTATGAAGTAGTATTTCAAAATATAATTACAACTTGAAGATGGCTGTCTTCAGACTTGCCGCCATGAAAACTTGAAATCCTGCTTAAGGTTAAAGCAAAATATAATAAAACCAAAACTCTTTAAATACAAGAGCATTTATCAAGAAAAAGTTATAAGACCTTTAGAAAATTCACATAATGTGCTTAAAACTGTACAAGATCACACTAAACTATCAATTGTAACATTTTATACCATCAGCATTTATTTCAATTCCTTCCTTCAGTACTCTAATGCTTCAGTAAATTTTCCTCCTCCTTTTTTCTCTCTTTGGATATTTATGTATTTGCACATTTGTTCTTTTTCTCCCTTATTATGTTTAATTTTTTTTTCATTCATGCTATGGATGAGTTATTACACTTGGACAATGGCCCTTCTTCCCTATATATCTCAGGTGACACTGTTGGTCTTGGAACGTTTAGCTATCAAATTGCAGCTTCTTTTAGTTAAATTTAAAGGTTGCTGTAAAAATATAAAAATCATGCATTTCTGCTAAAAATGTTCCACGTGAAATGGAGTTAATTTTATACATGTGACTAGTTGCAGTCTGACTGTATTTGTATGTGTGTAAACTTTTTTTAATTCATATTGGCGGTAAATAAATGCTAAAGCACATTTATACGGTGAAAATATATCAACTTCTGGAGACTGTGGGAAGCTCTGGATGTTTAGTATTATTTTGTGCAATGTAAGCAAGAAAGTATAACAGTTGCATTAGAATGACTTCAGTTTGAGATAAGACAAAGAAGAGAATTTGGAAATATGTAGTTGAAGAATCAAAATAATCACAAGAATTTTCTCTACTAGACCTTTTTTTTCACAATGCATTTATAGAGTTTCTAAAGAAGTTCTCTTCTAGGGCCATGTTGTTTGTCTCCGCTTGTTGAATTGTCGATACTGATTTCAGATCATTTCTCACAAGTCACTGCATCTAAAATCTCACCATGATCATAGGTAACAATATTTTTATTTCACAGTGTAGTAACTTGTTAAAATTGTTGCAGTAATTGACAATATCTTAAAATTTGTCTGTAGTAGATATAGCTTTAGATGAATCTGTCTTTTTAATTTGAAATCTGAACATTACATGTGATATAAAAAATTTCTGTCTTCTGGGTTGTTGTGCCGTGTAGTATCTACTACATGGTGCAAGAACCCAGATGACAGAAATCTTCATACTTACCGCTGTGAAAATCTCAAATCATACAATTCATTTATGCTATGGATGAGTTATTTCGCTTGGACAATGATATCTCAGGTGACACTGTTGGTCTAGGAAGTCCTATCATATTGACCCTTGGAACTTTTAGCTATCAAATTGCAGCTTCTTTCAGTTAAATTTAAAGGTTGCTGTAAAAATATAAAAATCATTCAATTCTGCTAAAATGTTCCACGTGAAAAGGAATTAATTTGATACATCTGACTGTATTTGTCTGTGTGTAAACTTTTTTTAATTCATATTGGCGGTAAATAAATGATAAAGCACATTTATACGGTGAACATAATTCAACTTCTGGAGACCGTGGGAGGCTCTGGATGTTTAGTATTATTTTGTGCAATGTAAGAAAGAAACTATAACATTTGCATTAGAATGACTTGAGTTTGAGATAAGACAAAGAAGAGAATTTGGAAATAGTTGAAGAATCAAAATAATCACTAGAATTTTCTCTACTCGACCTTTATTTTCACAATGCATTTACAGAGTTTCTAAAGAAATTCGCTTCTAGGGCCATGTTGTTTGTCTCCGCTTGTTGAGTCTGAAAATTGTCGATACTGATTTCAGATCATTTCTTACAAATCACTGCATCTAAAATCTCGCCATGATCATAGGTAACAATATTTTTATTTCATGGTGTAGTAACTTGTTTCATTGTTGCAGTAATTGACAATATCTCAAAATTTGTCTGTAGTAGATATATCTTTAGATGAATCTGTCTTTTTAATTTGAAATCTGAACATTACATGTGATATATAAAACTACTTAACAAGATTTCTGGGTTGTTGTGCCATGTAGTATCTACTACATGGCGCAACAACCCAGAAGACAGAAATCTTCATACTTACCGCTGTGAAAATCTCAAATCATACACCACTTAACAAGTGTTACAACATGTGAGAACTAAGATGGCCATCTTTTGAGATGTAGTACCACATAGTCCGGTAGAAGTTTACCTGCATTTCAGAGGAGACAGCAAGAACCTCTTGAAATGTTGGTAAAAGTCAAATTGAGATCTATATTTTTTCCTTGATTCAATATAAAAATTCAAGACTTGCACATGTCTAACCAAATTGTTGAACAATTTTCATGTTCAACACATAATCATTTCAGGAACAAATGCTGTGTGACAGGATGTTTTAATAACACTGTGCAGGTTTACTAACTTACAGCGTATACTTGAGTTGGAAAAAATTACGTTGTTCAAAATAATTTAACACATAAATTGTAAGGAGATTAATTTCTTTTGGCAGGAATACCTCTGGAAATTGATTCAGAATTTGTATGAGGGTCTAGCGTTTGAAGAGAGTGACGCTGATAGTCATGTGACCCAACTTCACCGCAGCTTGATCATTCAGTGGGCATGCAACTTGGAGCACGAGCACTGTATTGAAACAGCCAAACAAAAATTTAGCACTGTATCTAATGGGTAACTCATGACTTCTATACCATAGCTTTAACAAAATTATAAGTTATCTACTGCTTATCAGTTTTTTGCCAGTAAAGTGAAATGTTTATTTTTTAGATGTTATCTTATCAAAATTCCATATATACACTGAAACCCTTTCATATTCTTTTGCTAGGAACCAAGTGTTTTCATATTGTATGCAGGACATGTATTTTGTTATGACTTACTAGCTCAGTCAAATTGAATGCTATGATTCCATCTCATTCCTCCATCTGCTTCACCAACACACCAGAAACATCTACATTTACAAATCTAAAACTTATTGACGATGGTGAAGAGTCAATTGAATAAAAATTTACTTGGATATTATCCATCGTCTAGTAAATATAAAACGTAAAACAACGTTTCAGAGATGGGACTCTATCTCAGGTTCCTACACAGTTGGGCCCACTAGATAGAGCTAATCCCTATCTCCGGACAAA